GGAAATAATGTCGTCAGTCGGCTGGTTGCGGCAGTTTTTTTTTCTTTTTTTTCATCATACGTCCTTACGTGTGCGGGGGATCGCGCGTACAAGCTGTACGTAAACGTATATAGCTCTGACAAATTTTACCGGCTATACGATCGCGTGTGCAGGTGCAATGGGCTTGTGTATAATACGTACGTACTGTGTAACGCATATACCTACATAACTATACGTATACGCTGTTGCTCGAGTTATATTGGTGTTATTGCCGACAGTTAGCCGGTACATACCTATCATCCGCCTCTGGAACATTACCTCTGCAATGTATGCATATACTGCACGTGTACAGGTTTATATAGCCTTATACGATTTGCTCCTTTTTCCTTGCACGTTTACGTACGTACACACGTACGGAGATGCCATCGTATCGACATTTTCTTTTCTTTTTTTTTTTATGCTCGCCCTCAGTCCGGCTTGGCTCCTCCACCCTTTTTTATATATACCTTCGCGTAATAGTACACGGTCTGCCCATCATTATCCTCGAACACATAAACAAATAAGCGCACTACACATGCGACGTCGCGACTCTATTTACCCAATATTTTTATCCGCTAAACATTAAAAATTCAGTCGTGCAGGGAAAAAACTCCTCTGAAAGATTTTCGTTTACTTGCATTATTATGCGAATCCCTTGAAATGACGAATAATCATGGGTACAAAATTTTTTGTTCTATTTGCTTTTGCGCAAACGGTTTGTATGAATGAAGATACAATTGTGTTAAAATTAACAAATGTACGATATAAATATCAACAATCGATTTATTGACGTCGTGCATCATTACACATTTACAGTACATGTATTTGCGTATGCGTATACAAAAAAACCACACACTTGTATGTATGATTGATGAGTGAAATGCAAAGAAACGAAAGAATGACGAACAGACGGGAGAGAAGAGAAGGTACACTTATGGACTAGAACATTGAAGAAGATAAAAACGGGTGATAAGTACAGGGAGAAAATGAAGGATCGTGTTTTTTATGTATTCTCAATAAAATCAGTAGTAGGAGCCATCCGGGCCTTCGCCAGAAAATCCCTCGTAGGACCCGAGGTCGCTCGTGCCACCTCCTCCCGACTCAAAGAAGGACTCGCCCGACCCGGAGTAGCTCGAGCCACCGCCGTCCTCCTCGTCACCCCCGTCCAGGCTCTCCGCGCTACCGTCGTCCACGTAGTGAGACTCGACAATGGTACCTATACTCGTGACAAGACGTATACAATACATTATAAAAAAAAAAAAAAAAAACAACAATATTATCCGCATCGTCGGAGCGACGCAAGAACAAAGCACGTAACACACGAACCAGCGCCCTCGTGGTCCCCGACGCGTTTGCCGATCCGAGGCTTGGTGGGCGCCGAGTAAGCCTCGTGCTCCTCGAAGCCGTACTTGTCGCCGATCTTCTTGTGGAAGGAGTCCCGGCTCTTGTAGCCGTGCCCCGCCTTGCCGAAGCTCTTCTTCAGGAAGCCCTTCTCCCCGTCCGCGTCGCTCCCAAACGTCTGGTAACGGCCACCCGCGTCCTCCTTCCCTGCGGCATTTACACATGATTATAATGCATATACGTATATACATGTAAGTATAGATAGTCCTCGGTGTTTCGAGACAAGTGTATGTAAATATATATATATATTAACCGGATACGCTGCTCGTCCGCTTCTTCTCGAACTTTTGCTGCTGCGGCTGTACCTTGGTGTCCCCGGTCGCCAGGAGGTCGCTCACCTCGGAGGCGATTCCCCCCCGGGGCTCGACCGGTCTGGCCGAGCTGCAATTCACCGCGGCCAACAACACCACCAACACCAACGTCGGTCCCATCTTCGCGGCCATCCTCCGGTGCACTCTATACCTATGCGTCCTCGCGGAGAGGACTCTCTCTCTCTCTCTCTCTCTGTATGATGTACAATGCGACCCGGAGCGCGTCCGTTTTGTTCACTGCGGCATAATCATCCCGCGGTGGAATGAGGAAGCCGGCCGGTGGGACCTTTTATTTTATAGCCGACCCCGCACTTTTATTTTCCTCCGTCCCAATATACATATATATACACGTAGCGAAATGTTATACATATATTCTTGTAAATAACAATTGTTGTTGGGCGTACAGTTTTATGGCGGCGTGTCGTAAGTTCGGCACTTTGCCGGTTTCGTTGTTATTGCGCCGGTCTATAAGGTACACTTTTTAACTTGTGACTAGTGCGTCAAACGCGTTGCAACAGCCGAGCTGTATATATGTATAATAGGCTATTCGCGATATACTTGTGCACGGATAATTTCTCGGTATAATCCCTTAAAATCGAGCGTTCAACCGTGTATACAGGTGTATATATATACATTGTTTAACGTATAGGTACACGTAGGATCGGATAATTCTGTGTAAGCTGTTGGGCAATCGTGTAAGTATATATACATTGGGTCAGGCGAGCACTGGATACGTTAAATAGCGGCCAAAAATGTCGAGGGATCGGTTGTTATCTCGGTAATGTATATATATAAGTACTGCGTATTATTATACGTAGTGTGTCATAGGATTCGCTGTATATTGTATTAGCTCGGGATGACGGATCGAAAGGACGATCTGGTGGTAAACCGCAAGTGACCGATATAATGCACGTGTTTCATGGGTGTGGGGTGTATTGGTTTATAATTCAAATGCCAATAGCGTCAGCGTGTATATAAAAAGGTTATTCGGTTTTTTCCGCGTGAAAAGATAAAATAGTAGCAACTATTGCTCGTATACACCACATCTGTGTGTACCTTTCGATCTCATTACTTTTCCGAGAATCGGATTGAAGTGCCGGGAAAAGATGGCGAGTTGTCGGGAAACGTCCGTAGTAATATGCTAAAAAGTGGTGGAGGAAGGAAAAAAAAAAAAAAAAAAAAAAGGACTTTCGTAAGGAGGAAATAATGTCGTCAGTCGGCTGGTTGCGGCAGCGGCCGAGTAGTCGAGCGTGTCGTGACGAGAAATAGTATTAGAAAAAAAAAAGGAAAAGAAGAAAAAAAAATGTTAGTTTGCTCGACTGCGCTCTTGGTGTCGATGATTCAATAAATCCGATCGTAAGTCTATGTACATATTTATACGTTGGTTGGTCTCTTTCCCGCGTTTTCACTTTCGGCCGAATCGTTGCTTTGCGGGAATGCCTTGTGTTTTTGCGAGATGAAAAAAAAAATAGCGTGATCGGTTCACACGACAAAGCATCGTTTGTTTTTGGTATTGATACGGTATGATACAAAAATGGAAAAAACCGGTATTTTTTTTTTTTTTTTTTATAACTTTTTTGCATTTTACTGCACTTTTTCGGAGATGTAATAATCATCCTATTGGTCTCTGGTGCTAAACATTTTAAAATACAATTTATTTTCACGGGTACAAGAAACTCCACGAAAAATCGTCTGTCATTTGTAGTACCTACTGAAAATGTCATAAGCATTTTACAATAGTATATCACGTAAATTGAACAATCTTAGTTACCCTGGAAAGTCAATATGTTACTTTTTATTTGAGACCATTAGAAAATTTTTTAAAACAAATTGTCCATCGTAAAAAACAAAATTTTATTTCCATTGTAATCAGCTTTTTTTTTAAACAGGTGTTGGTGAGAAAACAGTGCACAACAAGAACTTTCACTTTCAAATGAGACTTGCTGAGCCAAGAAAGACTATTTAGATCAAAACATTACACGTCAGGGATACATAAGTATATCAATAGAGTCGGTTATTTAACTAATTCTCAACTCTTACTCCTATAGCTATCAGAAAAATTGCATATATTATAATACATTGAGCGATTGGACCAATCAACTAAAACACGCACTCGAAAAAGCAGTAATTGGGCATAACTTACAACATTTTCTCGTCTAGAGCAGCTACTTTTGGATCATGTATTTACTATGGACCTTAACTGAGACTCTTTTAACAATTTATAGTATGGCATGCCTATATATACTGGATAAATTTCTGCAATTGATTGTATGATACTGTCCGGATTCAACAAATAATGAACAGAAATTTGTTTTCTACTGTTTAATTTTATTGTTATCAATGATTCGCTGAACAATATTTCATTTATTAAAAATAGTTTGAAATTTTTTTTATCGTTTTGAACGTTTAATGATAATAATAATGAAACAGTAAATGTTTGCCACGATAAATCAATAGCCTACACGGCTTATACTCTCTTTTATCGATGCCTGAGCTGCCCTGCATTCGAATCCAGCAATAAAAGTGTTGAAAACGAATAAAATTGTATCTGATTGAATTCGAGTTTAGGACTACGAAAATTACTCAGTTTGTTTCTAATCCGTCGCATCTTTGCATGCTGTGAGAAAGAAAGATAACACTTAATACAACCTTAGCTAATTAAAAATGAAAGATTTTGGATTACACTTTTTTGTACAATGAAAAAAAAAACTTAAAATACGTAAAGTATTCAAAATTTATTGTATGCAAAACTATATTTATACTCACTCACTTACTTAAATAATTACGCAACTCAAGTTTAAAAAATTCCAGAAATTTGCAATACAATTTCAGCTTTTATGTACGATATCAATGTCTAATAAACATAGTTCATAATTTTTTTTTTTTTTTTTGACATTTTTAAAGTATAACAAATAAAGCTGATTTCAATTTTTAATAATATCTACAGTACGGGTGTAAGATTATTTTGTTACGAAATACATTCATTAACGTTTACTTTTTTGCACCTTTTTGCAATTCTTGTTTCCTTTGTATTTTTCTTATAGCTTTTTTCCCTTCTATTACAACAAGCTTCTCATCTTCGGTTAACGCTGGTAAAAGGTCAGTAACAACGCCGGTGCCAACGGTAACACCACCATCTCTGAGTGTAAAACGCTGACCCTTTTCACACACCATTGATTTGAAAAGCTTCAAGTCTAATCTAAAAAAAAAAAAACGTAATTATTACATCAAGCTACGAAAAAATTGACTTGAATAATAAATAAAAAATGAACGTCAAAATTACTTTGCATCTTCGCCTGGCATAGCCAAATTTTTTTCTGGAACAGAGACCTGTGCTGGACAATCCCACGTTCTGCTGAATACTAGAAGCTGCATCATCTCGGTTACTGGCTTTTTTCGGCCACCTTCTTCTGGAGTCAAAACGTAAACTTGAGCCTGAATGTGATCATAAGCTTTGACTGTACCTGGCTTGGCCATGACCATGCCTCTCCTGACATCTTCCCTCTTGAGACCTCTGACAAGAGCACCCAGCTGATCTCCCGCTTCCGCATACTCAAGAGTTTTGTGGAACATTTCTACACCCGTGACGGTGCTCTTCAATTGTTTGTTGTAGCCTAAAAACTCGACCTCAGTTCCCTTCTTCAATTTTCCACGTTCTAATCTGCCACTGACGACTGTTCCTCTACCCGGAATAGAGTATACACCCTCAACTGGTAACAAAAACGGTTTGTCAAGATCTCTCATTGGCACTGGTACGTGGCTATCTACAGCTTCCAATAACTGAATTACTGCATCCCTTCCTATTTCAGGATTTTTTCCTTCGAGAGCGCAGAGAGCACTTCCTTTGATAACTGGAACTTTTTCTCCATCAAATCCCATTCCAGTCATAACCTCTCTTATCTCCATCTCCACAAGTTCAACCAAATCAGCATCAGCAGTGTCCACCTAATAGTTTTATCGTCAACAATAATAAGCTCTAGAAATTTGTTCAAAAAAGAGTGTAAGAATCAAGAAATTTACCTTATTGATGAATACAACAATGTGTTCAATGCCAATCTGTTTTGCCAGGATCAAATGCTCTTTTGTCTGAGGCATGGTGCCATCAGTAGCAGCGACAACCAAGATAGCACCATCCATTTGAGCTGTACCAGTAATCATGTTTTTTATGTAATCTGCGTGACCTGGACAGTCTGTGTGACCATAATGCCTCTTTTCTGTCTCGTACTCAATGTGTGCCACGTTTATCGTGATACCTCGAGCTTTTTCTTCTGGGGCATTATCAATTTCATTGTAATTCTTTGCCTTTGCCAATTCTTTTTCTGACAAAACTGTGGATACCAAAAAGTATTATTAATTGTACACTTTCGTTAAAAATGTACTATTACCTTTTGTGATAGCTGCAGTGAGAGTAGTTTTTCCATGATCGACATGGCCAATTGTTCCTACGTTCAAATGAGGCTTGTCTCTTGCAAATACAACTTTTTCAGCGTAAAACCGCTGTCCTGTGATTCTTGGCAAGTAGATCCTGTTGCACAATTGATTGCATTTTTGCTGTAAAAACAACATAATCATTCATTACTTTAATTACTGGATAAGTTGTTACACACATAAAAGGCAGTAACCACACAAAACAAGATACAAAACAAACACAAACAGGGATGAAAACTTACGAATTTAGCGAGTTGTTTGACAACGCTGATGTGTCGGACACTCTGCCTTAGAGCTAAAAATAAAAATTCAACTTTAAAATCGAGAATTAAAGTCTGATGAAACAAGTAATTATTGCGTCGACGTATCCCCCCGGTCCCCATGAGGTTCACTATCCAACAAAAATAATCAACATAGGCAGCAGCAAGCTTGTATAATCATGTTGTATCAGTAAAAAGGAGAATCTAAGGGTAGTTTTGATACGCTTTATATCATGAATTACATAAAGTAAACAAATTTTACCAGGATACAAAACCGTTCTAGCGCAAACCAAAGCCATGATTTCTAACCACACTTATTGACTGTTATGATTTTTTTTAGGCTTCTCTCCTACTGCACGAACGGAGAGATTCGTCGGCGGCTTGCGAATGGCTATATAGGTGATATTGGTATACGCGTTGGTGTTACCTAACACAACCTAAAAATAAAAACAATACATTTTTCTCCGAGTTAATAAAAAAAAAGTTACTTTTACTGTATGATTTTCAACTTTATGTCAATGGTGTGAATTATTCTAGTTGTAGACATTGCTTGCGTACTCGTTTGTGTCACTTTTTTTTCAACTCTTGCCTTGTTTTGTTTACAGTACCAAGTCATTGTTGGAGCAACAAGAACATCTTATTGGTAATTCCATGCTTGTCACAAAGTTTAATTTGTTTAAATTGCCTTAGAAAAGTGAGTATAACAGTATCATTAGACATCCCAGTAATTTTATAAAATTTGTATTAATGTACAAATCCTATGTTTCAGAAATTATGACAGCTATGTTGCAGTCGGTTTTAAGGATTACTCGGTTCAATACTCAACAGTCAATTCGTCAAAAATACTTTGATGTCAAATGGAGAGAAAACAGAAATTTGCCTCGGAATCCCAATTCCTTTGGTCCATTGACAAATCTACCAGATTACTCGTTTACGGATGGAAGGCCAGTTCCTTACGGTACTAATCAAAAGCGTCGAATTGACAAGCAACGAGAACATTTAATAAAAATAAAAAAGTTAGTTGGCGAAGTTGACCGTGCTGTTGAGAGGCACAAGTGTTTGCAAGAAAAAATTCAACAAGAAAAACAACAAATCATTGATGGTAAATTGAAAGAGAAAGGAAAAAAAATTTTAGCAGCTGGCACTGAAGTTGACGTTCAAGTCAATAAATCATAATTTAAAGACATGAAGTTTTGGGTACTACTTTATCACAAGCTTTCTATACACCAAATTTGTTTGAAATCCATGTATATATGTATTTTCTTAATTAAATCGTAAATAGTTATCTCAATGTGTAGTATATTTTATAATAACGACTCCCAAAAAAACTATACTAAAATAATGTGTATTTAAAAAGAAATTTAATTGCTTTGTTGAATAAAATATTGATTAGAAAAGTCGAAACAATACAAAACGTAATGTGCCAGTAGGTACAATTTTTGGAGTAAAAGAAAACCACGACCCCCTTTTACGCATCAGTTTCCACGCACTTCCATCCAGGTTTTTTTATTATGGATTTATGGAAAGGAAAGGCGAAGGCGAGATACACTTTGAAGATAAAACTTATCTACATCTGTAGTGTACTATAGGAGCTCTAGTATAGCAGCTGATGAGGCCTGTAGGGGTGGGCTGTGGCTGCCAAAGAAGGAGTTTATTGATGACAAGCAGCTATACCTACATTGTTAGTTGACTGAGTAAGCGTCTATAGAAACATCTAGGTACATTTAATTAACGATTATGTACTGCGAGTAGCAGCAAATAATAAAATAAACCACACAAACGTGAGCACGACAGCTATATAAAGTCGGTGGATCGGTGCTTCACGCGTTGGGTAGCAGAAGGCAATTAAAAGGCAGAAAGCAGAAAGCAGAACGCGTCAAAAAAAAAAAAAAAAAAAAAGATTAAAATGTTAAGTTTGACGTTTACTACGTGAACGCGCTGTACACTCTGTAAGGCGACATTGAATTGAGTGTACACGTCTAACAGTGCTTATTTAGGTACCTGATTTTATTAAGGCCAAGGTGTGTCTTTATTCATCAATAACGTCAGCGTGTTTCGTTTTTTCCTTAGAATCCACATTTCTAACCTGCTTTTCACATTCATTATTTTTTTTTATACACCCATTTTGTCACCTTCAATTCTTTCAAATTTCACACGCACGTTTTATTCCAAATTTTAGTAACACTATCAAAAATTTTTTGTAAAGCCTTATCAAGTATCGTTCGATCTAAATTTCAATCGCATTAAAACGGATTATTAATTAAAAATTTTGTGTTCTCACCTTTTCCTTCAAGTTAATGGATTTTAGTTAATTTGAAACACTTGGTTACTTATTGCATTTCGTGACACGACTTTGGCTAGTTTGGCTTGACCCGCATCTGTCACACAAGAACCATGGATTTCCGTTTCAATATAAACAATCTTTTACCAAAAAGGATAAATAAGATTACGCATACTCTCATACCTGAAGGATTTAGAGGTGATCGACGTGAGTATAAGTAAGTTGAAATCCTTCAAACGTTATATACTATCTACTTTCTGATAAAAACATCAGGCAATCAAATACATAATATAACTAATTTTATTTCGTAAAATTTTTCTTATGCTTACCTTTGTAATTTTAAAATTATCTTTTAAGCGAATGCCAAAGGTTATTGACAAGAATTTTAGATGACATGGGCGAAGCTTCTGCCAAAGCTCAGGGTCTGAATAGAGTTATTACAAGTGCAATCAAACTTCGTGATACAGATCATATTATTTATCTGATGGTAGACAACCAGGGAAACAAGTAATTTTTTTACATTTTCAAACACAATTTTCAAAGTGCTATGTGGCGCATTAAAATTTTCATTTTTTTTATTTTTTATTTTTTTTTTTTATTGCAGTGGCCTGGGTAGTATTCTTGGTCTTTTGAAGACTGGTGCTAAAACCTTGTTTATGTTTGACGAAAATGGTTACCATTACCAGGTGAAGCCTCGATGTATTCTAGATTTTTATATTCACGAATCCCAGCAGCGCAAAGGGTTGGGGAAGGGCCTCTATGAGTTTATGCTTGCAGTTAGTATACAAAATATTACGTCATGTGCATTTTATTTATTATCTCTATAAATACCATTATAGAGTCTATTTGTTGTGAAGCAAGTTGTCACAGATGTATTGGTGACAGTTAAAATAATTGTCATCCATTGGTTTTTTAGGAAGAAAATTTAAGACCAATAAAGTTGGCCATAGATCGCCCTTCGGAAAAGTTCTTGGCATTTTTGAAAAAGCATTATGGGTTAACAGAAATAATTCCCCAGAATAATAAATTTGTTGTATTTAAGGGATTTTTCGATGATGGTAAGACTTACTGAAAATTTATTTAATGTAATGTGTAAATTGCTCGTTTACAAAATCATATTAATTCTGTGCTTAACCACTGTTACATGTCTCATGTTTTTCAAAAAAGTTTTAACTTTCATCAAATGAATAACAACAATGTATACTTTGCAATAATCACGACAACACTTTCTTAATGGATCATTGTTCATATAATTTTTATAAACGTTCAAACTAAATATGTATCAAAACACTGATACATTATAGTTATTCCCCCAACATTTAGCACATTTTACAACGTGAAATTGGAGCATTTGAATACTCATATGATTACAAATAAAATTTGTCAAATACATTATTGTTTGCAAATACATTCAACATTTTTTAACGTGTACAATCAATTATTGATTATTTGTTGTTGGTTTCATTTCGAAAACTTTTTTTTATACTGCATCAACAAAGTACAAGCAACTAACTGTTTATCGTCAATATTTAAAATTTTCAGAAATCCAGGATTCTCAAACTAATAGATATTCAAGTTCATTTTCACAAATACAAAAACCGAGTGAAAACAAAGCGTTGTCAAATAATAATAACAATGATGTACATTCCATAAAAAGTATAAGGTAGCCATTGATTAAGTAATATTTTACTTGTAGTAATTGGATGGTACACTAATACTTTTTGATGCATGATGTGTACAAAATAATAATCAAGTTAATAAGTCATGCAATTTTTATAATTCACTTTCTTGTGTCAAATGATTTATCATTGCTTAATTTTTTTAATATCAACATGTACCATCCATTAATAAGTATCACTTATTTTATACGATTAAGCTTTAAATGAAAGTCACTGAAAAACAAAAAATTTTTACATGTGACTCAGTGTAACCGGAACACCTGTACGTAGCGCTTACGGACGGTATGCTGCATCACGCCCACCTTGCTCTATGGCTAATGTAAGTTATTTCTATAATTGAAAAAATATACTTTGATAATAGGTGTGCAAAGTTCAACTTCTCGAACCTGAACATAAATACAAATGCTAGCACTAGGTGCAAAATAGTCACGGGCATTTGTAAAGTATTGCAGTAATAAGCAAAAATTCGATTTTGGAATTTTTTTACACTAACTGTTGAAAAATATTATATGGCACTTGTGTGTCCGATGATACATATTACTATTAAATTTAAAGTATATTTAATCAGTACGATTTAGGAAAAAAAATGCATACATACGTGAATTAGTAAATAAGGGTATTATTACTTGGTTTAATTGCTAATAAATTATTGACAGATAATACATAACACTTCTGCAACAATTGAACAAGCAGCAGAGAGTCCCAGGTACGTTACATGATTGTACATTTCACGACACACATTTCAAATATAATATATACCAGCTTTATCAACGTTTAAAAAAAATCTCTCACAATGTGATGAATATTTTCACGCTATGAATTAAAGCACTCTATAACTTATAAGCATCCAACTGTATGCAAATTGTATTTTTGTTTTGTCATTATTACCTTCTTAATTTTCAAATAAATGTTTTTATGATTATTTTGTAAGTTCTCCACGTTGTATAAAATATCCTGTCTTAAGCGTGTATGCTATTAGTTGATTAATTAGTCTGTTATTATCTTTTGCATGTATTGTAGATTGTTCATGTCTTTTTATTTTTCTTTTTAGGTTTAATAGAATGTGAACAGCTTTGTTAAGTTACATTTTATCAAGCACCTTAATCATTACAAAAATTGTAGAAAGCATTTCATTCACTTCATCTAACAGCAAATGAATGTATTATTATAAATGGCAAGGAAAAAGTATCTTTAGTAGTAAAGTATATCGTAAATATCACTTTATAAGGGTAAAAGATGTTTATTGAATTAGTCTAAAGATATTTATTGCATCACGATGGTTCTTAGCGATGAATACGAAATAAAAATGACTTTTTAATTTATTAATGTTAAATATTGCAAAACTGTGATTTACAAAAAAATACTATTTATGAAATTACGAATGTATTATTTATTTATACACGTTTTTATATTTTTATTGTATTATTTTAAAATGATGTAAAGCCTTATCAAGTATCGTTCGATCTAAATTTCAATCGCATTAAAACGGATTATTAATTAAAAATTTTGTGTTCTCACCTTTTCCTTCAAGTTAATGGATTTTAGTTAATTTGAAACACTTGGTTACTTATTGCATTTCGTGACACGACTTTGGCTNAAGCAGATGCACTAAAATAACCGACGCAAGCAGTTTGAATAAAAATATTATTGATTCTCAGATATATATTTAATATTTTGAATTTACGACTTTTGCTAATCAAAAGCATTCTAAAGAAGTATGGCAAATCATAAAAACAAACAGCAACTAGCAAAGTTAATACAATTGTTTTATATGAGCAAATAAGGAGCTGACATTATTAAATTTTTGTTTAGCAGTAAGAAATTGTACACGATATTCAGCTGTTCCAAGAACAAACATCATCTTCCATTCACTAATCTGAATGAACAAAGAAAAAGGCTATTTGATGATTCACAGATAATCAGTCCAAGAAACCTTGCAGTTATCATTAAAAGGCATATGTAATGCAATAAAACATTCAAAAGTTCTAAAGGGTCAGCAACAACTGCATGATTTCGAATAGCGAAAAAAAAAAAGTAAGTACAGCAAAGTAGACCAGGGTGAGGAGGGGCAGTTGACGAATAACCTAAAAGCTAATTTTCATCCCTAAGAGGCAAATGTCAATCGAGGCGATTCCTCGAGCTGTAAGGTGTATGAGACACACTTTTTGGATATAATTACCGCGATGACGTTGACAAATGTAGTCTTGCCGCTGTACTGAAGTCCGACGAGAGTCAGTTCCATCTCCTCCTTCCAGAAGAGCGACTTGAACCAGTCGAGGATCCGGTTGATGAGGGCCAGCATCTCGAATCCTTGAGTAAAACACTTGCAGCACTAACAACAATAATAACAACACACAGCAGACTCCTTCCCTGGACGACGACGTCGACGTCGACTCCTATAATATATATCTCTCGATCCCTGAACTCTATACACCCTCTGTTGTGGTCGTCGTCTTGGTGTCAATGCGACGATTCGATTCTCCTCTTCCTCTTCGGCTTTGCTCTCTGCTTCTGGAATTTCTTTTTTCTCTACTTCTATATACTTTACAAGTATAAGTATATAGGTGTACCCCGTTGACAATGCGTAAAGGCGTGTGGTGTGACTGGTGAACCAGTGACGCGCTCGTGATGACGTATAACTGTAGGATTATGTAGGTATATAATGTATATAGTCAGTTTTGTCTGTTGGTATATTTATATAATATATACGATACGCCCACGCATGATTCAAGTGTGTGTGCAGGGTTGCATATTGCGTAGCGCCGCAGCGGGGGCGACTTAAATAAGAGGATGATGGAGTTGATTTAAAATTTATATTTGCGGTTTTAATTGTTAACGCAGCACTTGAAACAATATTTTTAATGCCACGTAAACATGACAAAATCTTTTTATGTATACTATAGATGACAGATATCGTCTACTTATCCACCGTATCATTTTTGTTTCGGCACGAGTTACACGATCAAGGATATATCGTATTCGTCCCTTCACTGTTTCTTTCCTCATTTATATTCTAAGGATTAACATTTAATTAGAACGCACAGTAAACTTAAAACTTAATGAGAGAATCAAAATATCGCGGACTACAGTTATCTCGAGACACGCGTTATTTTACGACGTATTTACGTGTAGGGTTGGGTATCAAAAGTTTAGGACGCCTTACATTAAAAGCAACTCGTAACTAATGAAATTTATTCTTATGCTTAACTTATTAGACTTGTTCAAACACGCCTTTAAAAATCTTGATTTGTTACAAATTATTATTTTCAATTTTACTTTTATTGATTGGTCAAAGCTGGTATGACATTAAATAATTAAAATTCATTATTTTTACATTTTTCCTCCAAAAATTTTTATTGCAAGAAAATTTTTTACACCTATTTAATAATTTAATTAAAATCGATATTCTTTACTTATAATAATTACTGATAAACATGTGATTAAAAATTAAATGCATTTAATAAAAACAACCGCATAATATTTCATTGCTCCATTTTGAAAAATGGGCTACACAGGTTTTGATGTGTTTTATACATTATAAATATAAACACAACATGATTGTTTGTATAACTGCAGATCCTAATATCGTAAATTAAAATTTTTTTTTTACAGCGATTTCCTAATTTATGTAAAGACATCCAGCTGCTTTAATCAAATATAGTTCTGCTGGATCCCGAAAAGCATATCATAAGCCTTTTAGTACCGTTACTTCAATGTATAAAAAGAATTATTTGGCATCAATTTAATCAGCAATAGTGTACTAACTTACAAAATATATAGTAACTTAATTATAAAAAAAGTTCTCTTACATAGTATCGTGTTCAAATATTACATGAACAAAGATTTACAAAAAAATGTGGTTGCTAAATTTGAAGTATCGGTAGAAAAAGGGTTGTGACATTCTCACAAACAATATTGAATGATCAGAACACTAAACCTTGTTAAAAGTTCATTTTGGTATTTGCAAATATAATTCCAGTCGTATATTTAACAAGTTTTTATATTCTTCAGTTCTCGTCACATTCTTTTGTTTTCATTTAAAAAAAAAAAGTTTAGTGATACACTAATTTAAATATACTTATAAACAAAAAATTATCACCTCAGTGCTACGTTTTATGTGCCCTTTACTCGTAGGTAGCACTAAAAGTATACGTAAGCTGAATTAGTAAGTTTTTATATTTATTCTGTAATTGCATTCTTTTTAAAAATCACACCAATTTATTCCTGTTGGGCTGAAGCATTTAGGAGTAAGGAATTGTCTACTTTAATGACTTGATTCCTAAATGGAATCATATAAGAATGTATTTATCTCTTTTCTGTCCTCCTGTTTCTGTCAAAAATCATTAATAACGACTTTGTTATAGATTCTTAGTCCTTTACAAACAATCGGTTTTTAAGACATAATGGATACCGACGATTATTATTAGCGAACGCCGCTTTTTGAATGTGCTATGAGCCACTGCAACGTTATATCAATATTGTCCTTTTCTTTACAAGAAATGCTATAACAACAGATCTCGCGATCTTGAATTGCCGACAAGTTCCTACAAAAAAAATGCATGGATGAGTATCCTTACAAAGTAGTAAGCATTTTTGTAGTAAGAATACAGTGACTGAACTTACATTCTTTCTATCAGACCATTTTCATCATATGCATGAGGCAAATCCCTTTTATTTCCTAGGACCAAAACTGGAATGCCAGCAAGTTGAGGTTTATCCAACAGATTGTGCAGTTCATTACGGCTTGCCTCAATCTTTTCTGGATCTGCTGCATCAACCATATATACAATTGCATTAACACCTCTGCAGTAACGCTCCCACATTGATCTAAATCTTGGTTGGCCACCAATATCCCAAACTTTGATCGTTACATTTCCTTTGGTTATTTTACGCATATTAAATCCAACTGTTGGAATCATGTCTTCGCTAAACTGTCCAGACTGTAATAATTTACAATCATTTTAAGAAACTATAGATTCTATGAAATCTGTTCAAATATTTGTTGATTATTGATATTGTGATAGTTGCTTTATTTGTTCTGGAATAAAAATGATTAATGAAATAAAAAGTGTGAAGCAGATGCACTAAAATAACCGACGCAAGCAGTTTGAATAAAAATATTATTGATTCTCAGATATATATTTAATATTTTGAATTTACGACTTTTGCTAATCAAAAGCATTCTAAAGAAGTATGGCAAATCATAAAAACAAACAGCAACTAGCAAAGTTAATACAATTGTTTTATATGAGCAAATAAGGAGCTGACATTATTAAATTTTTGTTTAGCAGTAAGAAATTGTACACGATATTCAGCTGTTCCAAGAACAAACATCATCTTCCATTCACTAATCTGAATGAACAAAGAAAAAGGCTATTTGATGATTCACAGATAATCAGTCCAAGAAACCTTGCAGTTATCATTAAAAGGCATATGTAATGCAATAAAACATTCAAAAGTTCTAAAGGGTCAGCAACAACTGCATGATTTCGAATAGCGAAAAAAAAAAAGTAAGTACAGCAAAGTAGACCAGGGTGAGGAGGGGCAGTTGACGAATAACCTAAAAGCTAATTTTCATCCCTAAGAGGCAAATGTCAATCGAGGCGATTCCTCGAGCTGTAAGGTGTATGAGACACACTTTTTGGATATAATTACCGCGATGACGTTGACAAATGTAGTCTTGCCGCTGTACTGAAGTCCGACGAGAGTCAGTTCCATCTCCTCCTTCCAGAAGAGCGACTTGAACCAGTCGAGGATCCGGTTGATGAGGGCCAGCATCTCGAATCCTTGAGTAAAACACTTGCAGCACTAACAACAATAATAACAACACACAGCAGACTCCTTCCCTGGACGACGACGTCGACGTCGACTCCTATAATATATATCTCTCGATCCCTGAACTCTATACACCCTCTGTTGTGGTCGTCGTCTTGGTGTCAATGCGACGATTCGATTCTCCTCTTCCTCTTCGGCTTTGCTCTCTGCTTCTGGAATTTCTTTTTTCTCTACTTCTATATACTTTACAAGTATAAGTATATAGGTGTACCCCGTTGACAATGCGTAAAGGCGTGTGGTGTGACTGGTGAACCAGTGACGCGCTCGTGATGACGTATAACTGTAGGATTATGTAGGTATATAATGTATATAGTCAGTTTTGTCTGTTGGTATATTTATATAATATATACGATACGCCCACGCATGATTCAAGTGTGTGTGCAGGGTTGCATATTGCGTAGCGCCGCAGCGGGGGCGACTTAAATAAGAGGATGATGGAGTTGATTTAAAATTTATATTTGCGGTTTTAATTGTTAACGCAGCACTTGAAACAATATTTTTAATGCCACGTAAACATGACAAAATCTTTTTATGTATACTATAGATGACAGATATCGTCTACTTATCCACCGTATCATTTTTGTTTCGGCACGAGTTACACGATCAAGGATATATCGTATTCGTCCCTTCACTGTTTCTTTCCTCATTTATATTCTAAGGATTAACATTTAATTAGAACGCACAGTAAACTTAAAACTTAATGAGAGAATCAAAATATCGCGGACTACAGTTATCTCGAGACACGCGTTATTTTACGACGTATTTACGTGTAGGGTTGGGTATCAAAAGTTTAGGACGCCTTACATTAAAAGCAACTCGTAACTAATGAAATTTATTCTTATGCTTAACTTATTAGACTTGTTCAAACACGCCTTTAAAAATCTTGATTTGTTACAAATTATTATTTTCAATTTTACTTTTATTGATTGGTCAAAGCTGGTATGACATTAAATAATTAAAATTCATTATTTTTACATTTTTCCTCCAAAAATTTTTATTGCAAGAAAATTTTTTACACCTATAAATTTTATCTTTGTGCAAAGTGTATCGACTTAGACATTTATAAAAAAATAAAAATAATTAAAGTACCCATTTATTATAATCTTTGATTTTACCAGTTGACAAAAATATACAAAAAAAATATTCCGAATGTTTCATAATATAATTTCCCCTACAAATAGCACACCTATTCCAGCGAATCAACGTTTATCCCCCGTAAACGGAGGAAAAAGACTTGAAAACATCGGTAATTGTTTACATCCTTCGTTTGTTTCATTTTCAGGCACATATTTTA